TCATGACCTGAGCCGAAGGCAGTCGCTTAACCAACTGAGCCACCCAGGCGCCCCCTCCTTAAAGTTTTAAAATATGTAATTGGCCACTGTTTTACCACATCCCATAGCTTTCATACCATGGATAGACTAGAATCATTTACCACTGCAGTTATGGACTGTTGAGCTTTCCTTTTGAAAGAGGAAAGCATTTATTTCTCAATCTAGATTTCAGAGTTAAAAGTGCAACTAACTGATTCCAAATGTACAAGGTTGAATCTCTGGCTATTAAGAAAGTTACTGTATATGCATGTATATACAGTACTACCAGCTCATGACTGGTGCCCCATTATCAAGCACTTGTGGTCGTCAGTTACGTAGATATATTAAAGTCCCAAAACAAAGTGCAGCAAATTACTAATTCAACTACTGTTGACTTTTTTTTTTTAATATGAAAACTAAGAGAAATTAGGTAAGAAAAATACTCAACTTTGGCAAGATCCGTTTCTAATATGACTTGGACTGTATGAATTGCAGAAATTGTGACAAAGGAGTATTATTTGGAGAAATTTTAAATAGTACCTTTTTCTTTTAAACAGAAGAATTCAAACTCTCTGACCCCTGTACTTAGTTTGGTTTTATATGTTTCAGTTTATGTATTTTCTTCTCCTACTCTGGGTCTTCTTTAACAATCTGGGTTCTTTCTTCCTTTTCATTTGGATTTTGAAAACTAGTTTGTTTCTCTAATCCATTCACTTTCTACTTTATTACATAAAGTTTAGTACTTTAAAGTTTGTATTATTTTCAAGGAATTTGATAAATGTGAATCTAAAACAATTAATTTGCAGTTGATTCAAAAACCATAATTCAGTTATGCCAGGATGAGCCATACCTTAAAAACAGTTAACTCTCAGATAACTGATTTATATTAAGGTCAATTTGGGGTGCCTGGCTGGCTCAGTCCGTAGAGCATGCGACTCTTCATCTTGGATCGTGAGTTCAAGCCCCATGCTGGGCGTAGAGCTTGCTTACAGTATACATGCATACTGGGGAGCCTGCTTCTCCCTCTGCCTCGCCTGCCGCTCCCCCTGCTTGTTGCGTGCTCGCTCTCTCTGTCAAATAAGATCCTTAAAATATATATCAAAACTTGTAGAATTTTAAAGTTGGAGTCAGCTTAGTGATCACCTCATCCAGTGACTTTATTTTTTAGGGAAAAGTTCTGTGGCCTAGGGACTACAATTAGATTATTAAATTTGGAGAATATTCATATTTAGTTTCAATATTTTTTAGGAGGGGAAAGGAAATGATCTAAGGAGTGTCAGTGATGGGAAATAAAGTGGTTTGTGACTTTTTAAAAGTCTGTCTTCTTTTGAGTTAGGAGAAATTTTTTTAAAATCCTAATTTGCAAGTAAAGTAGAGGAAGAAGTTGAGAACTTGGGCAGTTTCTTTGAAAGTTAGTAACAGAGCCAAGATTAAAAACATACCCTTGACCATCAAGACAACTTTTATTTATATAATGTCAATCACTGTAACACCTGTTTAGCCTACTGAGCCATGTTGCCCTTATAATGCCCCTGTGAAGCTGCCTGGAGCAGGGTCAGCTAGCAAGCCTGTGAGGGTGAGCAAGTGAAATAACAAGAGGAAATGTCTGAGAGGGTCCCTAAGGGTTAAAAAAAAAAGACAAATGTTGGTGTCTTAATTCTTCCAAACCTAAGTAGTTTGTCTTAGGGTAGCAGAGCCATTCTACTAATGGGAACTCCAGAGTCTGAGAAAATTTCAAACAGATAAAGCTGTCCCTTAGGATTCAGTAACTTAATGGCTTGCAAAAGAGCTAAGGTCTAAATGTTTTAGGCAGTGCCAAACTGGACTCTACAACTTGCCTAAAGATAATAGAAATAGAAACATTCAACGTACTTTTAGCCTCCTGGAAGGAAATGTGATCTAAAATAATAGTTTGAAAGTTGTAATTCTGTATTTAAAATGTAAAATGCATAAAAAGGCAAATATGTGTTTCCGTGTTAACATAATAAGTGCCATTCTTTGTTACTCTGAAGAAGTCCAATGACTGTCCTGCACTAAAGTTTCTATCAGAATGTGTTTTATTTTAGGTAATTATGCAAATGGAGAACTTTGTTCATGGCTTCAGTAACTGAGCTAGCAGTTTCTCTGTTCTATCATTTAACCCCACAATAACTCTCTGAAGTGACACTTGTCATTCTCCAGTTTCATGTGTGGAAACTAGGGATCAGAGAAGTAAAGTAACTTGTCCAGAATCACAGACCAGTTAAGTGATAGACTTTAACTCACAGTGTTGGGCCCCAAACCCAAGCAGCCACTAAAAGTTGCTGCTTTATTTAACTGCAAGTCACAAAATGTTACCCCATATGTGTTTGATGGCTTTTCTATAAAGAAACAGTTTACATAATTTTCTTTTTAAATTTACGGGCAAATTTTAACGGTAGACTAAGAGTAACCATTAGTAGTAGAAAAAGAAAGAAATTCAGGATTTCAACTAAAAGATGATCTAGTGAAGTCCAGCCTCTTTAACAGACTTGAAAGCTGGAGCCTAGAAGCTTACTGACACTCAGTACCAATATTGCTGTGATTAGAAGTTTGCAACATTTTAGGGTAAACACGAAATAAAATTCAGCGGTTCTAATGAAAACCATACAACATACCAGATTTTCATTGTATTTGAATATAGTATTTTAAAAATAATTCATTATAAGCTCTTACAAATTTTTGCATCCTAAGTGCTTTGTTAAAGTAGAAAGAAAAAAGGGGCCTGCTACACACATAAAACAGGGACCAAAAATTTTTTTTAACTGAACAAGTAATCATTGTAGTTTTAAGGTTGAAGTAATATATAACTTATATGGTAATTCTTAAGTATTTCTAGATGTTCCTCTGCTGGGAACCTATTTTATACTGTATCAGCAAGAGTGTAGGCTTCCAGTTACCATGTGGCTTTTGAAGAATTTTTTTTTTTTAAATTCAGCTTTGGAAATATAGAGAAACCTAATGAAGATTGAATATTATGAAAAGAAACAAATTACCTAAAATGTTAAGTCTACACTGAAAATTACGAAAGACTGAAATAAGTAAACATTCCCTGATTTGTGAAATGTTTCTTAATAGAAGTCTTGTGATTCATTTAAATTCACAGAAGATAAGTTACTGCAAGCATTTGTAGGATACTACTTGAAAATTTCCCATTTGAGAATTCAAGTCTTATTTTCTCCTAAGAAAAATTTGGTTATATCCATTTTATATTTTACTTTAAAAGTTAATCTTATACTTCAATATCTAATTCAATCTCATTTTTCTCTTATGTGTAATTACTGCTAACTTTAAAAAAAAAAAGACACTGCTTAATTCAAAGGGAAATAATGTTTAAAAGATGTGAAGCATTTAATCCTTGAATGCTGGAACCACTTTTAAAGTATTGTAAGCACATCTGTGTTACATTACACAGGGAAAAGAATGTATGCATTCCGTGGCCTATGGGCACTGGGGTGGCTGGTTTAGGAAAACTGAGTATTTTGCATTTCATGTTTTTTTCAACATAAAAAATTTTCTGTGACTCTAAAATGAAGAATGGAATTCCAGGGGTAGGGAATGTAGTCAGGCAAACATGTCAAGTACAGTTGTTCTCTCACTTGTCACCTACTTCTGAAAAAGAAATCAGTTTCTACAGCAGGTTTGTCTTTTCATTTTGTTAAGCACTTTTTTTTCCCCTTATTTGAAAAGTGTTCCATGGAACAAACTTACAGAGAGGTCACTACACCAGGAGTTCTTCAGAAGTGCACTGCATGCTTCACTCAGCTGCGAGTGACTGTGCAAATAATCTCTTACTAATTAGGAAATACCAAAGTTTGTAAGTGATTTACTCTTAACAAAATTACAGCAGATTCAAATATATTCCAGTGATAACCTCACTCTTGATCACTTGGATCCAGTATGCTTTCTTGAGTAGGAGGGAAAAGGATGGAGTTACAGCTGTCAGGCTGGGTATCCCTTAGGATGTGTGTGTTGCATGTGAATATCATCTGTCATTGGTGGAGATGGAAGAAAAAAGTTGGAGAATTATGACTACACTGGTGGACATGTTCTCAACTTTTTCGTCTTTAATGTGACATGATATTCACATGCCAACACATACCCGTATGCAACTCCTAGTGAGCTAGATGAAATTCCACCTCTTTCTCTGCTACTCCAGAAAGCAAGCAAGGGGGAGAATGTTAGGGGAATGCATCTTTCATCAACTAAAAAAAAAAAAGTGGTGTTTTGTTGTTTTTTTTTTTTTTAAGTAATGACTTGAGAGTTTCATACCTTAAGGAACATTAGCATCTAATTACCTGTGACACATTTGACAGCTATGTCATGACTGATAGCATGACTGATAAACTCCATATTCCTTAAATTTTGTGTTTTAGGCTCATCCAGAAACTCACTGTTTTTTTTTGTTTTGTTTTGTTTTAATTTCAAAATAAAGGAAGGCCAAATTTAATTGTATGGCAATGTAAATTTCTGGAAACTATTTTTATAATTAGAATTAACTTTTTACGAAAGTATTGGTAGCCAGTTATTTTAACACCATATATTACTGAAAATTATCATGGGATAGTTTTTTGTTTTTCTTTAAGGCTCAAACTAAATAAATTTGAGGAATTTGAATTTTGAACTAGTCATTGCCTGATCCAAGAAGAATTCACGACACATCAAACCATAGATATTGTATAAAAGTTAGTCTTTATTCCTTGATCTGAAAATGACTTGTTCTCAGTCTTTTCTAATGTCAAATTATTTGATATGCTCTTTATTTAGCTTTAGAACCTGTATAATAATAGCACTTTTAACTTTTTTTAGAGGCACTAAACTTACTATATTATAAGGAAATAAGTATTGAATTAATGTCATTAACATTTAAAAATTTTTCAATGTAAGGGACTCTGATATATCTTATTAGTAACTTTGAATATTAAGGCTGTTTTTAATTTTTGTTTTGCTTTTTTTATTGTAAGGTATTATGAACTGGATCCTTACAAAAGTCTCCGTGACAATTTGAGGAACAAAGTGATCATTGAGTATCCAACATTACATGTGGTATTAAAGGAATCCAGTCATGACATGGAAGTTCTTCACCAAGGTAAATATAAATTTGTTCCTGTAATGCTTAGAATAACTCTAGTGAGCCTGAGCAATTACACAACTGGGTTTATTTCTTTACATATTTGTTTTCTCACTGTATTTACACACTTAACTGAATTTGCTGTATAGCTAGCTATAGTTAATGTAAAGAACCAAATGAACGAGCTGCTGATTCTGTCGTGTTTGAGAGCACATAGCTTATAATATCAATTCAAAATGAATAAGTTCGGCTATAAAACGACATTCTTTGCCTTATTGGAGTTCTACAGGTTTTTGTCTTTTTTAAACCTAATAGCCTTTAAGTAACAGTCTGTCCAGTATCAGATAAATTTACTCTCTAGTTAAAACTCTTTCTTTAGAGATTCCTAAAATGAGGGATTATAAAACATTTTTAGTATCTTACCTTATAGAAAGGGATAATGTTTAAAAGAATGTCATGTTTGAAATTTGGACTGTGTTTAAAATAAGCTAGTGACATTGACTTGACCTTTATCTCCTTTTTTTAAATGTGCTGGTTTTATTTTCCTTGATGTTTGTTTCTTTGGCTATATTCCTTGTCATTTTAGTGATTCTTTAAAAGTAAGGTACTTGTCCCTCTTTGGTGCGTAGTGGAATTGGAAGTATTAAAACTGGAAATGGTATATGTAAAAGTTTAGTATCTAAAATGACTCATCCATATTTGCAACTGCTGATTAGAGTAAGCTTCTTGTGTTTCTGAATGCAAATTCTAGAGGATGAATAAAATTCAGAAATTACTTTTTTTAAAAGGGAGAGAGGTGACTCAACTCAAAACCATTAGATACCTCTTTCAGCTAAGAATAATAATTACAGGCCAAGTTTCATTTTAACAGTCTCCAGATGGCCAGTGAATCCTTGGATTGGATTGAAATCTATTTTTTAAATAAAATTACTCAAAACAGGTGGTTAAGGTTTTATTGTTACACCAGCAGTATAGGCTGAAATAGGCAGTAACCTTTGTTTTAAGGTGTTCTCTTACATGTGTATAATAGGTTTTTTTCTTAGTAAAAGAGAAATTTTTTTTTCAAAGTGGCCAAAATTTTGTCGGCGTCACAATTTGAATCTAGAATGTTAGATAGCAAACGTGAAGTTTCTAGTAATTGGTTATGGGCCTCTAAATCTTTAGATTAATTATTGACTTTATATTTTTCACAATTTGAGAATATCTGATTTTCTCAAATTACAAGTGTGTTATAAATGACCAATTTCACTTTTTTTTTTTTTTTAGCTGTGTAAAACCTTACTTTTTCCTTATTATAATTCACATAGCTCTCTAAATGTTGGTTTCAGGGAAAGTTGTTTAGTAATGTGGGGTACTAGCCAGGGCAAACATGTCTGTGTAAATAAACAGAGCACACACAGCTCCTCTTTCACCTTGTTTAGGAATGCACACTGAAGGAAGGCTTCCTGTAATGAAGCAAAATGAAAAGGCTACTTTTGTAGTGTACTTGGAACCTGATTAAGTAAAATTTGCTATTTTTTGGTGGGTATGTGATATTTGACTTATTTACAGGAAGACAAGTGACTCATGCTTTCAGGATAGAGGATCCTTTACAGCTGCTGTGGCAAAAAACTTAGAGGGTCTGACAGGATCTTAAGGACCATATCAGTGTTGTCACATCATAAATACACTTTAAAAATAATGCCAGGTGTTTTGTACGTGCATTTCTTTGTGTGAGCACTTCAAGGTGTCTGTTTTTTTGTATATTCTCATAGCTTTGGATATTCTGCAGGGTGGTCCCTTAATGCAGGAAGAGGGTTATATAAGAACAGGGCATTTTCTTTGGAAAGCCTTGAAATTCCTTCTCTCTCTGGAGGCAAAAATGTTGGATTTTGATCTTGAGTTCATAGCACAAGGTGTCTCTCTTCTCGTTTGGGAAAAATAATGTTTCTGGGCTGGCATTCAGTAGTTTTCACACTTGATCATTGTTACAATGTTTGCTATGGTTGTAGATTGCCACAGTTTCTCAAAAGTCTGCCAGTATTGAGGGGCAATAGGCAAGTTTTGTTTGTTTGCTTTTTGCTTTTTAAGCAATGTAGAAGGTTGACTATAAAAGATTGAGCCATTAAGGTAGCCCACTAGATTGAAAATGTGAAGTGCTGATCACCCATCTTGTATCAGTCCAGTGGGAAGTGCTCAGAGTGGTGTTACTTGCTTCACAGGTCCCTATTTGCCAAAGGTAGCTAGTAGATTTAGATGATTTAATAAGAGCTGCTGCTTTTCAGTCTTAAGGAAAAAAAAAATGGAGTGCAATAAAAGAAGAAAACAGGACAGTTTAGGAAGCAAAGAAAGAGAAGGGTTTCCCCCAAACTGCGGTAGTACAAAGCTCCATTAATTTAAAAATATCAGCAAAATGTATTTCTCTGTTGTTCTAAGGTAACTCCAATAGAAAATGCCTCTGCCTTTTGAAAAGGAATCCAACCCAAAACTGATGATTTCAATTAGTGAAAATATATAACATAGGAGCTACTTATTCATCAGTCTGATGTTGGGCCAGTATATCCTTTCATCCATTCTCTCTCCCTCTCTCCTCCCCTCATTCTTCCTTACCCCCCTTTCTCTTCCTCTTTTTCACTGTGTGTGACATATTGGGGTGGGGAGATGGGAGTGGACCTCAGGCACAAGAACACACATGTAAACTTTACAGTACAATAGGTGCTATAATAAAATGTGTATACATTGCAAAGAAAGCCAGAGGAGAAAAACTGACTTGTATTATCATGGAAATACTTGAAGGACTGTGCTAGAGTTTATAAAATTCTGCAGGGATCAGGACTGTATCTTGGATTGAACCTGTTTCAATCCTTTACTCATAAAAAAGGATTCAGTAAACATTTTGGTTGCTGGGACGATCTTAAATCTAGGTACCATTGACAAACCCCAAGGAACTTGGCAGTTGAATATGAGGCAAGATCTCGGTTTATGATTCTAGCATCAGCTCTTACTAAGCTGTGGGCCCTTGAGCATTTACTCTGCTTCTGAGCTTTATTTCCCTCATCTACACAATGGAAATAAAAGGCTATAAGCCTGAAGCAAAGTAATCTGTATTTTAACCTTAATTTTCATAGTGTTTTAATATATTATTTCCTTTTAGCTTCACTATGCAATGAAATAGAGCTGTTACTCTGGTTGACTTGCATTCATATTGATTCAGCAAACAGGTTACACTGGGAGGTTAGCTATAAGGAGGAAAGATCTAGTCTCTCTCCTTAAGGAACTCTCAGTTTAGTAAGTGAATCATAGTCTTGCTTGCTCCAGTCGGGACAGCTCCTTTAAAGGGACTCCATTTCTGCTCTAAGTTATCTTCCCTATGAAAGGAAGGAGATGGCGATTAGCTAGTCTTCTCTCAGCCCACATTCACTCAACATACACTGACCCTCAATTTTAAGTTTAAAAAAAAAAAATTACGGAAAAATTTATTCCAACCACACTTGGCCAGCCTATGTGATAATAGTGATCTTTCCAGTGGTACGAATATGGGATCATAACCACACTGTGAAGTGACCATTCCCAAGTCTTCCACAGAGTCAGGAAGGATGTTGCCTCACAAACTGTAATTGCCACTCTCAGACATCGTTTCTGTATTGTGGCCAGAACTGTATATCCTGGCCGCCTGGAACATGACATGGTCTGTCTGTCCCCATGAGCAGTGCTGTTGGTATGCATCAGAAGGGAGGAGAGAAGAAGGAAAAACAGAACAAGCTAAACAGAAACAGTATAAACACTTGACTGTATGTTTACTTATTTTTTTTTCAGTGAAAAGTGAATCTCCCAAGAACATTGGCAATGAAAATTGAGCACTTCTTCTGGAGGAAGAAGGCGAAAATTCCCAGACAGTTGCAGAGGACTGACTATGCATTGACTAGCTGTTGGATGACTGGGATGTTGTCAGTGGGTGGTTGAAATTTTTTGTTTCTCTGAGTAATTAAACAATCTAAAAGTTTCTTTGAAAAGGTGTATTTCCTAGCCTCTTGGATTGACTTGTAAGGCCCTTATTCCTAGTAATAATCCCTTTTTTGCACCTGACCAGCATAGTGCTTATTTCAGTTAGGCCCAGGGTTTTAATACGCTTAATTCCAAGGCTGAAAACTTTTTTTGTTTAGTTTGATGCAAGCCCAAACCCAAGAATCACCTGTGTCAGCCACAAAGTTGGCAGTTTCATTGGTAGAACCTCACTAAACATAAAGGCTGTGTGACACACCATTTAGCCACAGGAGGACTGACCCATCGTTGCCCATTCTTGTCTTTGGGGTTTGTTGGTAACTCACCCTCTTGAGATGACTGAGTGGGTCTTTTTTACTTGGGTAGCATCTAGCTCAGTGTCACATGTAAAGGATAAATAAATACTATTAACTATTACTTCTTATATTCAGTTCACAAAATCAATGGCCTCTCATTGTTTGAACCATCAGTGCTCACAAATTCGGCTCTCCTTGTTTGCACAGTGAGCTGTGTCTTATTATGAATTCTGTGCCTTTCATCCCGTTCCCATTCCACGCTCCTCATTACCATACAGGGGTGTTGTGATGAGCAGAAACATCCAGCAATAACTAAAGAAAGAAACACTTGGAACTCTTCAAAGTGTTACTGGAATGTATATGTGCATTTATGTACGTACATGGCTTAATTTATACCTTATGGCAGCTCTGTATACATTATGATCTCACATATTGAAATTAAAGTTTCCTAGTTTTATTGGAATTTACACAGTTATGAAATTGCAATATGTCTATAAAAGAGTAAAAGATTATTACATCTGTGTTGCATCTGTGTACTTAATGGTTAAGAAAACAATGATAAAATGGGACATTGGTGAATTCATTTTTAGTTTATAATTGGAATAAGTTTTAGACCAAAAAGAAGCCAGAGGCATTAATTAAAGAGGCTTGGGAAAAATAGAAATGAGAAGATGAGCGTAGGAGAAACTTGTAGAACACAACTATGTGTAACCTGGAGGTCAAAACTGGAGAAGCGAATCCAAAGACAATAATGCCACAAAGACCCTTAGTATATCAGTAATAGTGGAACTGTAATTCATAGAAAATAAGGTGTTGCAATTTGAGAAATAGCTACACTTCCTAAAGCAGCTTCAGGAATCTTCCTCATACGTGAAAGGTTTGTGTAGAATTAGGTTTTTCACAGTATTTCTGGGGAGACAACTAAATGGGATTTCAAAGGATTCATATTTAATCTAAAAGTGAAATTTGTTTTCTTGAAACAGGCAAGAAATAGGATGAATTGAATCAAATGTGTCACAGAATTGTTAGTGGGAAAAGTGGGATAAAGTACACACCAGGAGCACATGATCTGAATATCAGGATGGAGAGCAGTTTCCTGATAATGAAATCTATTATGACACAGTCTCATTCCAAGAAAAGTATTGAGTTCCATGTCTTCTAGAATTTAAATTGAAAACTGGACAACCAAAGGATTTATCCTATACTTTCCCCCCTGCCCTATACTTTCCCCCAAAAGGGGGAAAACATCTGCGTGATGCAATGTATCTTTGCCATCCCTATATAGTCTAGAATTCTATTAGATTTTTCAATTATAGACTGTTCCTTAGGAAAGAATTTAGCATAGTTCCCTTAAATATAACTATCAGCTCATTTGATTAATATACATATTTATTCCCACAGGATTTACAATAAACATGTTTGAGCGAATAACTGTGACAACTACTTGGAGGGGGTGAAGTGGGAATAATTCATCAAGAGCCCTAGAAGTCCGTAGTAGTAAGACTTAATTTCTTTTTCTTTTTTTTTTTTTGAGACCCTCTCCATTTGGATTCTTGATTAATTTGGATGAATAAACAAACTCCCTGACCCATGTTAAGTTCAACATCCTGCATTTTGTTCATGAATCACATTTTAAAAGGAGGAAAGCTTCACCTGGCCTTCTTTATTTTTTAAACAATGATTTCAAAGGCAAGGTAGGCCTTTCATAATTGCTAATTATTATATATGGGATTGATAGCCATAAATTACAGTAAACAAAGTTTGCACCTGTTCATATTATAACTAGGAGTTAAAGAGAGTTAGTATAATAGATATTTAAGATTCCAAAGTGTGGTTGAGCCAATTTGTTTCCCTGTAGCAAGTAGTGTGGTTCAGGTTTCACAGTGTACAGTGAAATGTTAAACGCCTAACTAATGCCAACAATTCTCTTATACATTTGGTTTAATTTGGTTGACATATACAGTGTGTTATACCTGATTTCATATCAGTCATTAAGTTTTAAGTAAAGATACCTCGTCTGCTTTTATTTAATCATACACTACTGTGTTAAAATTTATTTTCAAGTAGATACTGTGTTAACCAATTGTTCTTCAGTTGCAAGTCACAGAAACTCAACTCAGGCTAGCATACGCATGAATGGCAACTTACTGGCTCATATACAGGGAAGCCCAGGCGTGACTTGGTCCAGACACCCTGGGAAGGCATCTTTCCATCTCTCATACTTAGCTCTGATTTGTGCCTTCCTGGGTTGTTTTTCTCTTTCAGGCCAACTTTCTCTTTGGGGAGGGAGGCAGTGAGGTGAGAATTGTAGGTGGCAGCCATTGACGGGGTCAGCTTATGTCCTAAACAAAGCATGGCAGCACGTTATACAAAATTTGGGAAAGAACTTTGATTTTGCCTACATTCAATCATATTCCATCCCTGAGCTGATCCAGAGAGGAGCTACCCCAGAGGAAGGAGGAATTATCAGAAAAAGGAAGAGGGTAGGGAACAGGAGAGGCAAGGTGGCTGCTGAGAATACAAAACTAACAGATGTTCACTGTACCCTCTTTGAGTCTGAGTAGCAAGAGTCTTCCGATTGGAAATAACGTAAGGGGTAAAATTCAGAACTAACCTGTAAACCTTCATTGGCCCTAACTAGAGATTTTAATTCCTGCTTGATGCCATTGCTGCTTTGAGTTGCCATTATAGACTTTTAAAAAAATACTTTCCATTTGTGTTTGACATTTTGTTGCTTGGTTTCATCACATGCACACAGCGCCAATCTGTTGCCATCACAGATTTGGAAACTTCCAGTTTCATCAACATTTGAGAAATTTTGATATTGAAATTAGAGTTGTACTGGAGGAAAATACTTTAAAAACTGAACACTACTTAAATAAAACTAGACCCTTAAATAAATTTGGGGGGATCTTACTTCACTACAAAGTGTTTTCTTTCAACTTTGGTCGGTGAAAGCTATCTAAAGTATGTGTGCGCATGTTCTTTAAAAAGACCTATAATGTAAACATTTCCCATATTGGAGTGTGGTGACTGCGCTCATTTTGAACTTCATAACTGAATGCATCCTTTAGCCTTTGATGAGCTACTATACAAATCTATTGCCAGTTTTCTTTTTTGCTGAATAAAGTACCAAGACCCTTACCCTTTATGACTTGGCCCCAACCTCCTAGTTTTACAGCCTCCTCCCTCGGTGTCTCTCTCTCTGTCTCTCTCCCTTCCCTTCTTCCCTCCCCCCCTTCCCCCCCTTTCTTTCTTTTTCCAACCCTTTGCCTCAGTCACGAAACAACATAAAGGTTTTATGGACATTCCAGGTTTTTTTGCCCTTCTGTGCCTTTCTTCTGATGCATTGTCTCTCCATGAACGTATTCTACCTATTCTCTGAGACCTGGCTTGAGCAGTAATAGTTGTGATCCCCGCATATAGAAGTAATAGTTAATGTTCACCCTGGATGTGTCTCCTGATTGTCTGATGCTAATGCCATACTGGTTATTAAATGTGTTTAACATCATACTAATAATAAGAGTAATAGCTAACATGTATTAATAGCTTACAAAATACCAAGCATTATTCCAAGCACTTTATGTACTTGGATCAACATTTAAGATTTCTCACAACAGTCTAGTGAAGTAGATGTGAGAGTAAAGCCCTGCAGTAAGTGGGGTACAAAACAAAAAAATGCAGTAACGTGAAATGGGTTTGCATTGTTGCAGGCTGAAAGATAGGACAGGCTGCGTTGGTGCAACTAACTGTCCAGGAATTCCGAGCATCTAACCGTAGAGTCCCAAGTCCATTCTGTAGTTTGGCACCACATGGTGGCAGATGTCACTCAGGCTGAAATGTCGATGGGACAAATCTGAGTCAGTCCTATATCTGACTTGTACTTCTAGGATAACAGAGTGAGTTCAGCAATCTCCTGGGTAGGTGATGCCTGTTTCATCATCCTTATCTGAAATTAACCCACCCCCTGCTTCCCCACTTCCTGAGACAGCCTGCCGTTTCTTTCCCCAGCTTCACCTCCCCTCTCGTATTCCTCAACTCCACCAAGAGTTAAGAATTTGAGCCCACTTGCCACTTGTGAACAGGGGTTAGGTGGGGAATGGAAATGGTCATGTCGGCAGCATCACTGACAGGATTTACCTTAAATCCATTTTACAGGTGAAAAACCCAAGCATAGAGCTTAAAGCTTATTCTTAGGCCAAATTGCTAAATGGTAAATAATGGAGCTTGAATATTTTCCTTCTCTTGATTCCTCTCTGTACCTGGCATTATCTTTCTTCCTGTCTATATAATTATTGGTGAAATTCTTCTCGTCTTAAAGGGCCAAATCTATGGTTGATACTTGCATGAGAACGGAAGCACAGTTACTGGCATGACGTAAGCCCTCAGTGAAGGTTGGGTGTTGAGATGAGGTGGGAGGAGTAGGAAACCTCTCTAGATCAAAAGATTTTATAAAAAGTTTTAATTTTTTTAGATTGATCTCCTTCAATCTGTGGCAAAATCCCTGACTGATAGGATAATATTAATAGCTAAAAACCTAGAACTTAGCATGATCTAGGCACCATTGTAAACATAACTATCAGTCACTGAATCCTCACAATCCTGTGAGGTAGGTACTGCTGTGTTTTTTTGAACCTAAAATGTCGTTAATGACACGATGTGTATTTTATGTAACACTAAGAAAGAAAAGATGGCTGCCAGTTACATTAATGATACAATGCTTTTTAAAAACTCAATTTAGACTGTTTATACTTAGAGAGCTCTTTTAGTCATTTTATTTCAACAAATCTAACACTCCGTCGATTTGTAAGACACACTATTTTGTATACCTCCAGGAACGAAAAACAGCTTAATTGTGTCACATCCTGACTTGAGATGGTAAAATATGAAATAATAGTGTAGAACTGATGTAATAGGGTATTGAGACAAGTTTTTGTATCACTCTGTGCTCATATAAAAAGAAAAACCTAAGTGAAATTACTGGGTGAGGCATTCTGAGAGCTTCCCAGCAATCAGGACAGTGATTTGTGGACCCAAATACTGAAAGGCTGCAGTTATCCACTCGTGCCACCAGAAACAGCCACCAAGTCCACGTATGTACAAGCAGTGAAAACTACCTCGTGACTGTGGCCTGGCCAAAAGCTATTTCACAACTAAAGATTTCAGAGATGTTAAAATGTGGGCTCGAGAGTCCCTTGAGTGCAGTACCATCATCCCCCTTTTGTAGGATATGGGCAGAGAAACTGAGCCACGGGTCAGTTACACGGAGAGTAAAGAGGTGAACCTGGATTCAAACCAAGGCCAGTTGGGCTTCAGAGGTCATGTTGTTAACCTTTAGGCTATATAACCTCCGGAGTGAGCTTGGTCTGGTCGTTTTTTGGAAAAGGTCAGTTTCTTCATAATTTGTGAAACTGCTTTGCTTGGAGTTTTTTCTCTTCGATGATGGACAGCAGGCTGAGTTTCTCCTAATATGTTTTGTTCCTCTCTGGGCATTTCATCCATAGTACTCACATATTTCGCTGGTTTGG